AGATGTTTTCGACTCAGGGTCTCCCTGGTTTTCGACACGAGGCCATGGCGTTTTCGACTCGGCGGGCTCGACTCGAAAGCAGATTTGCTGACTTGACAATCACTCGTAATTCCTTTTCTTCCTGATCATCAAGGTTAGCAATGTTGAAAGGCTGCTTGGGACATTGCGTGCTGACACCTTCGAGTGCTTTTGGAAAGGAATTCTAGGAACTGTCCTAAGAACCACCGCGGCGGCCTCAACGAAGCTAAGCTCGGAAAGCGCTCGACCCCAGCTGTTGCAGCAGAGGCTGCCAAACATGTTTGGCAAACCTCGGAAGTGATCCTGCGCGGTCCACGATAGAGATGGAGCACTCCCCACACACACCATTCTTGCACAGGTAAACACTTCTGGCCTGCTCGCTTTGCCATCGCACATATCCTCGGTTCGTGCTCAGATTTGCAGACTACGCTTGGGGGCAAAGCAGGTCCAAGCCATCCCAGCATGTGTCGTTGCACTTTCGAGCTCTTATCCCTTCTATTTTACTCTGCGTCACGGATTGCAGATGCACCTTACGAGTAGGCAAGGAGGACTCCCTTTGCCTGACTTTCATTGGTCATGGGAGAGATACCGGGAAGCTGACGAAAGATGCAGGTTTCGTTGTAGAAGATGTTTGAAAACAATACGGAAACGGAAACAAAACTTGCAACTTGGCGTGGAGCGAGAAACCTCTTCTATGACATCTTGCGGAAACAAGTGCAGCAAAGCGAGTGCAAGAAAGCGCCCGGAGAGGGCACGATCGAAGATCGCTCCAAAAGCTTCGAGAGCAGTTGCTATGGAGAACGAGGAATTTGCTTCAAGCTGGCCATCCAGTGCTTTCTCGTCTTTGCAAGAAGCGTGTTCTGATAAGACTGCTTTGTGCATTGCAAACAACGTAGCGTTTCGCCTTTGCTTGCGTCGCGCTTTTCTTGATGCAAAATGTTGACCCGGCCCTTTAATACAATGTGCATTCAGCCAGGACCTAAACCCCCCCTCCAAACCCTAAACCCTTTACTAAGCCTGAAAAAAACCGCGAACCCTAAAGCCTTGGACTCTGAAGCCCGAAATTCCCCCGAAACCCGAAACCGCCTTTAAGCCCTAAAGCCCAAGTCCCCCTTCGAGCCTTATCTCAACCTCCCTTTTTTAAACCTGAAACATAAACCCCCCGAACCCTAAAGCCCTGGACCCCACAGCTTATTAAAATCCCCTAACAAACCCCAAAACCCTGCCCTGAAGCCCGAAACTCTCCCTAAACCCGAAACCGCCCTTAAGCCTAAAGCCCACGTCCCCCCTTGAGCCTCATCTCAACCTCCCTTCTTGAAACCCATTTAGACCCCCCGAACCCTAAAGCCCTGGACCCCAAAGCCTAACACCCCCCTCCCAAACCCTAAATAAAACCCTGGCCCTGAAACCGAAACTGCCCTTAAGCCTCAAGCCTGAATCCACCCCTGAGCCTAATCTCAACCTCCCTTAACCCTAAACCCTAGACCTTCCTTTCTTGAGCATTGCGAGGCTTTCTAAGGGGTTTAGGAGGGCTTAGGCTCGAGTTCTAGGTGGGATTTACCTAAGGTTTGTGCTTTGGGCTGAGAACAGAAACCTTAAGCTTTCAAGAGGCTTTCTAAGTGGTTTCGGAGTCAAAGCCATCCAGACCCCAAGCCAACCCAAGAGCCCCCAATCTACCGAACCTTGGTCCAGGGGGTCGCGGATCCCAGATCATTCAAGTCAGAAGCTTTTGGTTGGGGGTGCCTATTAGTTAGGCTGCCACATTACTACTACTACTACTGCTACTACTACTACTACTACTACTGCTGCTGCTGCTGCTACTACTACTACTACTACTACTACTACTACTACTACTACTACTACTACTACCTACTGCTACTACTGCCACTACTACCTACTGCTACTACTGCTACTACTACCTACTGCTACCACTGCTACTACTACTACTACTACTACTACTACTACAGCAGCAGCAGCAGCAGCAGCAGCAGCAACAACTCACAATCACCACGACCACCACGAAGACGGCGACAACGCAGCAGCATCCTTGCACTAGCCAGTGAACCCTACATAACCGATAGAATTAGAGAATAAAGCTGATTCCCACCCAGCTATATCTCAAAGCCTCTTGCATCAGAATGGAGCTATGCAGCAAACAGCACGAACCGTATCAAACGGGAGCAGTCATGGCCTGTCATGACATATCCAAGTTGCGAAGTGATGCCGCGTCGGCAGCTCGGCGCATGGAATGGCCAACCTTCAATTGGAATTCGAATCTTGTCCTGAATTGAACTGCGACATGCTGCGACGCAGCCTGTTGCATCCAGTCGGGCTCGTCTGGATCCTGGCAGCGGCCCACGGCGGGGAAAAAGCGCTGAGACGGATTGCCCTTTTGCTGGCTCCTCGGGAACCTCGAAGGAAAGACCGTGCGTGACCACATTGGCAAAGAGACGGTCCAATCCTACGAGTACCCAGACAGGCAATACCAAGATGCACCGAGAGCACCATGGCAACAGAGAAACTTTTCGTCTGCTCTCTGTTCGGACCTTGGCCGGGTGCAGCCTCCTCGAGCGCTGCCCGGTAGTCCTTGGTAACCTGCCCAGCAGCAAAACCGCCCTGCCACCAACGTCGATCTTTCTGGGAGCCGCACCAGGACTCGCCGTCCCCGACCCAAGCGACGTGCGCGCTGCGCTAGGAATGCGACTAAAACCTCCAGTGAGGAGGAACCTGAAGATGTCGAGCATAATCGAGCAGTCCAGCGATTGAAAAATGGGCAAGCGCTACATCAAGCAGCGCCTGCGACCCTCGCCTTCAGTGCTGCAAGCTTTGCCTTCCGAAGCGCATCGAAGCACCGCTTCTTTCAGCTGCGATGTCTTTGACAAACTACAAAGGATTTAGTTTAGGTTCCCCCAGAACCTTTCTGGTCCATTCTTTCCTTCGGATCGCCTTCGGCGCAGCAAAGGCCAGGGTGGCAGCGCCGTCCGGGCGGCCACGGAGACCACTCCGCAGCCTGCTCAGAAAGCACAACACAGGCAGCGAAGCGTGTGGTCTCTGGACGCTCTCCAGCCTGCGTGCTACGAAGGACCATCGCTCCTGCAGGTGCTCAAGACTGGAGAGTGTGCCCTTGAACAACCTCCCTGATGTCTGAACTCACCTTTGCATTGCACGTTCTAATCTGATCATGTCCGTCACGACACTTTGTAGTCGGTTTCGTGCACAGGATTGCCTCAGAGGCTGATCTCAATGCGACATGCTGGTATCGCAGCTCTTCGTTTGCCAAGGGCGAAAGAGTCGCGTTTGCTCACCAACTCTTGGGGAGTTGAAGCCCCCAGCCCTTGAGCTGACTGCTCGGCCACTTCGTGCCACTTGTCATGCTCAACTTATAAAGTGAGCATAACATGTTCTGGTTTTCTCAGGGGTCAAAGGTCGGATGACGGGAAATAGTGTTGATTGGTGGTCTTGAAAGTCGAACTTCGCGGGCAGCGTTCGTTGCCGCTACGCTTCCATTCTGGCGGATTGGTGCAAACAGCAAACGTTGCTCCTGTGCACGCGGCCAGGATGGCCACCATTCTTCGAAGCTCGAAGCCTCTCGGCATCCGGGGCAAGGCTGGGCCGAGAAGCTATGCGATTTCGTCAGCAAAACCATCAGCCTCAGAGTTCTCTTCAACGAGTGTCTCCTCAAAAGCCTTTTGTGCCGCAGCTCGCGAATGGCTGGGCACAGCTGGTGCCTGGGCACCCTCCTGAAGTTCAGGCATAGGCATCCGATCCACAACATCTTCAGATCGGAGGATCTTGTATGGCTTGCGGCTGTAGACTTCACGAACATGACACATGAGCCGTAGCACTCAATTTCTACTACGCCCAAGCTCAACTGAACGGGTCCAGCTCTGCGTACATCCTTCGGAGGAACTCGGCCAAGCCAAATATGTCGCAAAGCACCTTCTAAACCGAGGAATGAGGTGACAGTCCCCACGGAAGGGAGCTTTCAACAAACATTCTCCAAAGGTCCAGCAAGCGGGACTTCTACGTACATTCCATTGACTGGTCGGTGAAGCTGTGCCTGGAAACCAATCAATCCTCGATCCCACAACCAACGAAAAGATACGTCATCAGCTGCAAAAGCCGCCGAGGTGCATGGTTGAAGGAAATGCCCAAAAGACCTCCAAAGGTTGCCATGCATTCGCCAGAAAGGTATTGCTGATGGCAAAAGGGAACGCAACATGAGGGGTTGGCATCTGAGCACACGCAGTCACCACAGCACTGACAAACAAAGAAAGACGCAGGAATGGTTGCCTCGTGCAGTGCCCTCTTCATGGATGAGCTTGACTCGCAGAAGGGGCTCTTCTTCTCCTTTGCATCTGCTGTTTCTGAAGCTGCTCAATACGCGCTGAACCAATTGATGCTTCAAGTTTGGCGACAGCAACACACCCGACCGTATCGTTGACCAAGAGTCGAGAGAAGACAGGGAGCCCAGACGCAGGACGACTTTGACACGGCTGCTGTCCGATCTTTACTCACCTCGTGCGACGGGGAAGGTGAGCTCGAAGAGGAAAGGCCCTGCTCTTGCCGACACATGAAGAGGCCCAGGCAGGCGTGGGGCAGACACGTGGGACATGGGTCTCTGACGTGAGACAGCACGAGGGCGGTCTTCGGCATGAAAACCAGATGCTGGAAATCGCCAAAAGCACTGAGACGGGATCCATCAGCTTCACCAACATCGAAGAAACCACATTGATCGTCTTGGCATGCTAGCTGCAACACCTGTGCAAGGGTCTGGGCAGCAACGCCAACCGCAGCACTGGGTAGTCACTAGCTAGACACCGCACTGGAATGGCACCAGAAATCCTTGTCCATGCCTCGGCTCCCGGCAAGCCGCAGGGCGGCACCGAAGCCATCGTAAAGGGAACCCCCGCGTTGTTCAAGAAGATCTTCCATCTCCTCGTTGTTCGCCGGATGCTGACCGTACGGCTGTCGCAGATACCCCTCCCTCCAAACTTTCAAGCTCCCGGCAGCTGGCCTTCCTGCTTTACCTGCAGCAAAATGCACCAAATCATCAACAATCAAGGGCACCCATCATGACAATCAATCGACATCCACCTGACGCAAACGCCCCGCAGCTGCCGGGAAGGCAGCCAGCGCTTTGGCCAGGGCTGACTGCCACCGGGCAAGATCTTCGCCTACCTAAGACGTGCTGGACGAATCAGGGTAGCGTGTTGCCGACACCGTGATGATCTCAAGTGATTTATTGTCGCCAGTGCCGTCTGCAACTCGTACCTGTGAAGAGAGACGAAGGCATTTGGACACCTCCTCCTGTCAATGTCCTCCTCCCATGGAGGTGCTTGTTTTTCCTCTGTTTTCCTCCGTGCCCGACCTGCCCGGCAGCTCATTTTACAAAAAATATATGCGCAAACACATATGCACATGCACATATGCAACCACATACATACACACCTCTCTGTCCGTACACTCTCTGTTGCTTTCTTGCTCGCAGTTGATGGCATTAGTCGTGAGGGGCATCTCCTGGAACGAAGACACACCCTTCGATACTAAGTCGATGCCCCAACAAGAAACGAGCTAACTCGCCAAGACGGTGCTCCGTTACAACTCGACGAGGATCTGCGAGGGTTCGGGGATCTGCCAAGCAGAGTACAATATTTCCGCATCTAGCTGGAATCGCAAGATTTCCTGGTGCAGATGGGACCGACAAGTCGAAGAAGTGTATGGCAGGCCTGCACATCGAAAGAAATCCCAACTGGCAACCCCTCTGCCCACATCATCATCAGGACCACCCAACGCAGCTCTGGACTGTGAGCCAGGGGAACAGTCAGAGTGAAAGTACCACCCCAAAGTCCCTAAGTAAGTGTTGCTGGGAATGGTCTGATGTATTGGCATTCTTGGTATACATGTGCGTATATCTCTACGTAAATACAAATGTAAATATATATATATATATATATATACATATGTATATATATATACTAGCCTCCTAGACAGACTGCACGCACCGAAGTCGAAAAAGAATGAACTGAAGTAATGACGACTCTTGCATCACCCATCCTTTGTACATTGCAGGGCACCCAAGTCAGCAAAGTCTTTCTGGTGAAAGCTTGCTTTCTTTCTGTCTGCGACAGTTCAAGAGCTCTCCCACTCTGTCGCCAGCATCCGCACAGTTGGCCTTGCTTTGCAAGTCTTCTCAGACAGTATTACCAAGGCAAACGCATCTGCAATCAACAAAGCCACATCCACGGGTGCAGCATTGACGAAACCTCACTGTTGTGTCAGTCGCTCAGGGACGTGCACGGCAAACTTAAAACATCTCCCAAAGACCGCATCTGTTCCGAGCAGAATGGCCTCGGTCGCCAAACCACAGCGGCACAGGTTCCGCCTGTCGATGGATATCTTACTCAGGCTGCTCTCGGCATCTGTCGGCCAGCTCATTGAAAGCATCTTCTGTCGAAAGGTTCTGGCACAGAACCAGGCACACAGTCTTTCATGACATGCAAGAAGACAAACACAGCCTCTGCTCCAGTTGCCTCCTCTGCTCGAACTAAGACCTCGAAGTAGGACGACATGTCTGCAGAAGTCTGTCAAAGCCAAAGCCGGTGGTCACGTTTGCGAAGTTCAGCCCGACTCCCCTGAGCATTCTGCGCGTCGCCCGGCTTTTACCTGGCCGACCCAATGCCTGAGAACTGGTTCTGACGCGATGTATAGGCTGTGTCACAACGCACGGCTGAGGACCTCGCGTCATCCTTGGCCCAGCGCCAGGAACTCGGGCATAAACTTCCTCAGTGTATGCCACGGTGCAGGCGAGTCGAAAGCTCTTCTGGGAGCCAGGGGCAGGGAGCATGATGACGCCATGGTGCCAAGCTGCTGGATTGTACATGGATCCTTCTCCCACCTGGCGGCACTATTAGTCTGGACTTGGGACCTTTTAGTCTGAACGTCTCTGGAAGTAATTAAATGTCTCCAGAAAACTGGAAGAGTCATCAAGACTTGGACCTGGACGGACAATACTGACCTTGTGGCTCAGCTTCTTGGCCAGCTCTGCGGCAACGGCCCCTCCCTCTGCAGGCTTCAGGTTTTCGGGCTTCAACCCGATCTCCTTGTCAAGCTGCTCAAAGCCGTCACTTGAACAAGCGTAGGAACTGCACAGCTTAATCCAGGTGATCAGACTTGGAGAGTTTTTTGATACTTCGGTCCTTCCCAGCCACGCGAACCGCATATCGACCAACATCCTCCCATTCAGTGGTGGGGGCTGAACTGACACAACAACAAGTCGCGTTTCCTAAGTGTGAGTTCCGTGCTCGTCCACAGCACCCGAGTGCCTCTCGCCACTTGACGATGACACCACGGTGTCCGTTCAACTCCGGAGACTTCCCAAGTCCGTGTAGGACAACCCTCTGGCCTCAGGATTTCAATTTCTGCTTTGGGAATCGCTCTTGCAACCCGACATGCTGCAGCTTTCCGCAAAACACTTCGGAAGCCGAGACAAGGGTTTGTTCATGAATATCTCAAGCTGCAAGCACATGCATTCCGAGGCTCCGGTTCGAAGAGCCGGCTTTGCCTGCACCAGGGAGATGCAGAAGTGCAGCAGACTTCTTTTTGATGCACTGAAACACTACGGCCCTTCAAGAGCTTGCGCACCTGCACTCGATAGCCGCCGCCGTCGGGAAGTGTCATCAGTAAGGGAGTTGGGGAGTCAGTGTAGCTTCGATGCGCAGCGCACTGTCGACTGTTGTCTGTCTGCCACATCCAGCAAGCTGTTCGTACTTCGTCTTCATTTTTCTCTTAATCGCGACCCTGCTATTAACGGTCTCAACTATGCGAAGTGTCTTTCTGTACTGTGTTACTGTGTGATATGCAAGTTCATCCTTTTAGCAGGCAAAACAGTCCAGCACGGAGAGACTTGCAAAAGCCGAATCGGTCCACAGCGTCTTGATTAAGCGGACTGTTTCTGGCCAGTCCACTGCACTGCTGAAGTAACTTCACATCTACGTCCTCTTGTTCTGCTTCAGAAAGCTCAGCAGCTGAACCTTCGTGCTTTGAGGCCTTGCGTGCACATTGCTCGCACGATGTGGTGAATGAGTCCACTGGGGCTTGCACAATCGGCCGATCTGATCCGGAGTAAGTTGCATGAGCTTCTGCATCAACTGTGCCTGCACAGCGACAGGTCGTCCAAGCGGTAGCAATAAGGCGAAGGGCATCGTCCAACACGCTGCCATGTTGGTCGACATTCAGGGCGGAGCCTTCTGGTCAGCATTGACTGCAAGGCCGGGCCCAAGTTCTTCACTCGGAGGCGGCGGAGGCGGCGGGAGCCTCAAAAAAGCACAAAGACTTGCATCGGGATACGACGTTGTACGAACTGGGAAGCTGGCTCATGTTGCGACATCTCGTCCTACCGCAGCGGAGCTTTGCAGCATGCAACCAGCAACTTCACAACACATGTCTCAAATCCTGGAGCTGTCTGGCTTTGGCTTTGGCTCGCTGTAGCTCTTCGGCGCTCAAAGGCCTCAATTAAGTCTTGACATCATGTGGAACGGAGACCTCGCGAGCACCTTGCTTGCATGTCAGGCTTCCATTCGCTTCTGGGCAGCTGGCAAGCCCGGCTCATCCAACATCCCGGCCAAACACTCAGCATGGATCAAGGCCTCGATTTTATGGCCTATCTGACACCTATGTCGACAGTACAGCTCCGTGTTTTATTCGGCACATAAAGCATCGAAGAAAAACCAACCATCACAAAACTGTAGAAATGAGACGATGCAGTCCGAGTGCTGCACGTTGCAGATTTGCGGATTTTCCGCAAGAATTCGCTGTGCCGTCACAGGGGCCTGGGCCTGACCACATACCCAATCCAGCCCGCTAGCTGGCCGCTAGCTTCTGTGCACACCACACACGGACTCCCACATGGAGAAGTGGTTTCGAGTGCGCCACACTCAGCTTTTGAATGTGACTCAAGATGTAGAAAAGCTGGCCCATGGTGACATTTGATACCTGAAACGACACATGCTTCACAAACAGCCGCAACATCAGCGCATACATCTAGAACAACAGACCTTTCTTTGTATACTGCTCAGGGAGGCTCGCCTGCTGCACCAGATCGGATGGAAGCTCACGACCGGCCAAGGACGTCACGCCAGGCGGGAACCTTCAAAGGCGTAGAAGTAAGCGCACATCTTTGCAGCACGGATGCATTCGTGCCTCTGCTGTCCATCCATGCCGTACCACCGGCAAGCCGCACTCAGATTGGACAATCTTAGAAACGACCGGACCTGAAACCAAAGCATCGACTTAGACACAGTGTTCTTCAGAGGGTACGCATTGGTCAACATGACACAAGCAGATAAGCTTGAGAAAGTATCCACGCACGGGAACGCCTGCATCAAACCTGCGTTGAAAAGGACGATGTTGCTGCGCATTGAAAAATATCTCTCTGAACCTCGATGTTGACATCTATCCACCAAGAAAGGAGAAGACGAAGTGAAGCAAATATTTTCTGCAAATCGAGTATGCTTTTGCCCAATCCGAACCATCAATCTCAGAAGCCATAATTTGCAAAACAAAGAAACTGAACATGTGAGGCGCTTCTTCGCTTGCTCTTCAGAACAAGCGGGGGTTCAAACGAATTTCTCGACATCAGATCGAGGCCCGGACCGTCGTCCACAATACAGAGCGCGTGTCAAAGACCTGAAATGCGTTGCGCTTGAGGCCTTGGAACTTGGAAGGTTTGCAAGAGCGGCGGGCTTCGAAGGAGAGGCTGAAGGGAGCTTGGCGCAGGAAACAACACTGTCATTTTGTGTTCTGACGGCCGTTGCCACAAAAAAGTTTCATCAACCGCAACAAAAGCGTCAAGCTTCACATTTTGTTTGGAGCACAGCACAAGTTACTAAAACGCACAAAGAAGATTGAAATTTTCTGACTACTGCTCTTCCACAAACCGGCGTGACGTGTCCACGCAAGCGGTGCACATGCAGGGACGGACAAATTTTTGTTAGTTGACATGTTTTGCAACCAAACCACAGAAAGGTCCAGAAGAAATCAACGACGAAGTTTTAAGTTAAAGCACGCTCCTGCGTGTCTTTTAGCCACGCGCAGTCAGAGAGACTTGCGTGCCAACCAGCCAATGCAGGGTCGGTGTCCAAGTTCTTGCTTATTCCAAAACAAAAGCACCAAAGAAACAATCCAAATCTAAGACGGCAAAAGAAGGCAGATCCAAAGACCAAGACAACAAGTCTTGAACAAAAACACAAGAGCTTCCCATTTGGATCTTCAAGAGGCTTCGTAGAGCTTTAAGAACTTTCAAAGAGCAACTCATGTCTTTCTCTCCACGCACCACCAGCCAACTGCAATTTAGAAAGACAGCCAAGAAAGAGACGGGAATCCAACCTCCACAGTGCCAGGCCAGCGCACAGCCCGCAGAAGCCAGCGCATCCGTTACGATGCTGGTGGAAGTGAAATGGGAAGTATCTTCACAAAAATCAAAAAATTCTCTCCAACTCAGCGCTAGCAAACTTGCAACGCGGTGAGGAAAGGCACTGCCCAAAGC